CCTATTTTGCGATTTTTGGTTATGAATAGGGAGCTCAAGGGCGAAAGCCTTCATTTCTTAATAAAGTGACTTAAAGTGACTTAAATCGATAACTGTCCATCACTTGGGTCCAGCATTTTAAGGGTGATTTTGTTATTTCCTCAGAGTCATGTTGAACACGTGTTTCTGCATTTACTCCTTCGGATTCGGGCACCTTGAAGAAGAGCAGTGATTTCTTTCTATCATTTGGGTCGTTTGTTATGATCTCGTGACCTCTACCGTCCCTTCATTCTTTCGACCTTGCTGTCCGCAACGACCTTCTTGTGTTTCACTTCCCTGATGGTTGACCCTGTAGCTAGTCGGGCGGCGTTACTGTGGTGAACAGTTGCTTCTGCTGCTCTGTGGTTTCTCCAACGACAAGAAGTTAACGGACCCTCACACGTTCTCATCAGCAGTCCTGTCAAATTGTAGCGTAAAATTCCTATTAACTGACCTCTTAATTTTTATAGAAACATTTTTCTCCTACGTCTTATTTCTTTAATGTGGGGATCCGCTGAACTCTGCCACCGCTTTAATGGTAGGAGTATTTTCATTGCTTCCTCCTTAGTTCATCATTGTTCTCAGAGCATGTTGACTTTTTTTATCACATCACGATATGTTGGCTGATATGGAACTACCTGTCTATCATACTTCACATGTTCGCTTCCTATGTGCTTGCCCACAAAGTGCAGCATTTATCCACTTTGTATTTATTTTTACCACAGCAATAATTTTGCAATGACGAGGATCTTCATGTCTAACATATAAAATTTATTTATATATATAAGTTTTATAACTCGAGTAACTGCTGTAGTTCGCTTATAGTTATCCTCTTGTGGACCAAGAACGCGTGGCATGCTTACTGATATATAACTACTCATTAAGACCCGGCTAGTGAATTTTTATAAGGTAATCATGTGTGCTGGCCCAAAGTCGACCTGATGTATTCCTGCTACTAATGAACTGAGGATGTCAATTGACTAGGGTACACAAAGTTCACTTGTGCGTTTTTAAGAAGCTTTGGTCTTGAAGAATTCGACTCTGATAGTTCTTTTAATTTTTTTTCGAATCATAGCTTCTGCAAAACAGGAAATGGCTAGCGCTTGGAGTCGGCGGGAACTCTTTGAAGGAGCGAACGCAAGTCGCGTCGTTTCTGTATACCCATCGAAAGAATTGTGTCAAGTATTTGGCTTTACCTTTATTTTCGACTACGAAGACCCACCACAACAGGATTAATCATCTAGATTTAATGCCTGCTCCTTACTTTTCTGCAAAGTTAGCTGTACAAAATGTTTGGATTTCGCATCGGCCACTGCATCAAATTTTTCTTGAATTTCCAATGTATTTTAATGAGTACGCTTCTAATTTTGTTCTCTTGGGCTTTATTATTACAAAAATATTTTATTTGCTGAATGGAGCTACACTTTCTAAACAAATGTCCTCCTCTTTTCGCTCAGTTATAGGATTATTTAATTATTACCGTTTTACAGGAGAGTTCAAAAGTGAAATAGATGCGTATCGAGTTGAAAGGGAAAAGCTCTCGATCATCCTTTCTGGCGTTTCTCAGGAGAAAAAAACCACAAAATGTTGAATGATCAAAGTTCGAGACGAGGGGAGGTATACATAGGTGCACGATGTGGTCGGACTCCCTTCAATTTTTGGGTGCGATATTTCGCACAAAATAGGGCAGCGTCAACGAATGATTGCACGCTGCTGGCTGCAGAATTAGATTATTGTGAGCTGCAGGTTCAGCGGCCTTGTTCTTAGCATGAGGCCGGGCACATGATTCAGAGGCTAAGAATGTCCTCACTGCGAAAGGTAGGTTCCACCGGTTCAACACCAAAAATTCCTGAAAGGTGTCCTGAGTATAGTATGCAGTCACTCAAGTCAACTATTTTTACGAAACTCGTCAGTAGGCAATGATTGTCAATGAGCTGCAGAAGAAATTCGGGTAGAACTCCCAATCTGCGCTCACAGTACAGTACCCGAGAAACTAAGCCTCAGTTGGTGTTGGTTACAACCACTCTCAGCCGCGTAAATTTATCTCGACAAATAACTCTTTTTTTTGTTAACAGTTTACAAGCTTATTAATAAGGATTAGTCTCACCTAATTCTTGCATGGTAACTCCGACCATCTGTGCCATATAAATGCCATCGTCGATGTAACTTGATGATTCCTTAAAAACCAGTATGGGACGCCAAATCAACTAAATGAGGTCCGTCCAACTTGGAAACTACTCTCTCATTCATGAGCCTAGTCATACTTCTGAACCCAAAACTACTTCAGTTTACTCAGGAAGAATCCGATAATACTGCCCTATCAAAGTGTGGCAAAGTGGCAAAGTTTGCAGCGAATAGGTAGCTGGCTATCAGAAGACCCTTCAATGAATGTTTCTCGTCCAGATTTTCTGGATCATTCTCGGAACTGAATTCGAAATGTGTGTTTCAAGGCTAAGGATTCATCACCGTTTTAGCTCAGAATAGTTTCGAAATGATTCAATGGAGCCACAAACACATCCGACGCATTAAACATAACTTTATCTATTAGTTTTAAGTTCTATGCAAATGATATAGGACACCTATTATCACTGCACATTTTGAAGGCATTTAATTGCTGCCTGGTCTTTGAGGTCTTTTTGAGCTTGTGTCCAAAAAGGAACATTATATATTTGTCTTTTAATAAACTAAACTAAAAAACCTTGAATTGCGTTGACACCAGGACGCCCCGCCAATTTTAGATTGGAAATCCCTGAATGATACTATATTATCGAGATTGTATACGTAATGTCCTAAGGGAAATCAGTGTCTTGTATTTTCCCTCATTAATGTGCTTATCTGCCGATAAAATATGATGTTTTATTCGGTAATTGCAGTCTGGTATGAGTAATATACTAGAACTATTTAAATTTTCCAAAACCTACAAATTGGTATGTTTTGGAAAATTTGAGTTACTGACACAACCCATTAGCCTTAAGGCTAATGGGTTGTGTCAGTAACTCAAATTTATGTTAAAAATGTGTATTTGATTAAAAAATAACGCAGCTAATGAAGGCAATCACAGAAATTTCAGATCTGGTTGTTAAACTCCATTTTTAAATGCCAATGCAACTAGATTATGCATATGCATAGATTAATCTATATTTTGATTACCAGGTCATATCAAGTTGATATATGAATCCTGTATTAGTTACATCTTTTGCGATTAGGCTCGGAGGGTATCACTGAGGCTTAATAGTTACACAGGGAACGAAAATGTTTGTCTTACTTAGGAGGATGTTTGCAGCAACGGCAAATATCAGCAGTGCGCATAGGGACGGCGCGATGACTTCAGTTTCTTATAATTATAGCAGAGACGAAAGTTATTATAAGCACAAATGCAAAGTCTGAATAACAAACACGTGTTTGTGATTCAGACTTTGTTAGTGTATTAATTATTACATGGGCTTTACGTTATCCGCCGAAGTATTTGGATTTTCAATACACTGACCTAAATATTGCTTCATAATATTACCTTCCTTTATATCGCATCAAGTCTAGGCCAATATATAGGAAAGCTATATTCTGCGCATTTCTTGAACCACATGAGTTAGGTTTATGTTGAGACGTTTACACTGAGAAACGCAATGCTGCTGAACAGTTTTCGCTTCCTTGAAAAACTGAATAACATAGCTTCCATAAGAATAACAAATATAAACAATTCTAACCTGGCTGATCATTGTTGTGGATTTTTTGGTAATCACAGAAGGCAAAGATGTTCAAGTGCTTGTGAGTAATAGGATTGTGGAAACTTAGCTTTATAGCATAGCGTTCATACTATAGAACTTTGATTCATACATTCGAAGCGCATTCCACTACATCGGAAATGTCCGTGGCCTTCTATGGGAGGTAAGAAGTTTTGAAGGACTCCGGTTTTCTGATGTCGAGGAGAGTGGCAGATCCCATTTGTTGACTGTTGAAATGATACAGGCCTATTTACATATGACAAGTGACAATCATTATTACAAAGTTTACGATTCAGTTTTCCTAGGTATGGTTACCAGATGTAAAAAGCTTGTTTTCTCTTTTTAGATGCATACACAAAACATGGAGGAGATTAAAGTGCAGCAGCTAAAGGCTTTAGAGTACTATTCCAAGAATGGCGTTATCACGTTCATGGAGGAAATTCTGAACAAGATGTTTGCTGTGCAACCACAAGACATTTATTTCTTTCTAGTACGTTATTGCTTTTATTCACAATAACAGAGTAGTAAATTCAGACAAAGAATAAGTGCTCCTGTGCCGATTTGCATCCGACTATTACCCGAGCTCGCCTCAGACATTTACAATGTTGCTTTAGTTGCTGCCTGGAAGAACACACAAACTGTAAGGTATTCTACAGTTTCAATGATTAAGATAGCTTCTTGGGAGTCATAAATACATCAACGCCTACGTAGAAAACCTCACTGTAGAAGAACCAGACTTGACTGGAGTCTTGCAAGCCCTCTCGGAATTAATGCTCAATCTGAACTTTGCAAGCAATTCGCAGTATGATTTGGACAATTGGATGAGGTTTGATCATGAAAGATTGACTCTCATGAATTCTAAAGGCAAAAATATGAGACACTGCTTCATGAGCATTCAAATGCTGGAGAACGCATGAAGTCAAACGGACAGACCGTGGGACAAAAGAATCCAGAAACTCCTGTAAAGCCGGCAAAAAAGAAGTATGCTTTGCTTAGAATAAAAGTACAATTGCATTCTTGGAGGATACTGTTATTTTTTTAAGAATATTTAATTATTTTATCAATACGTATGAGTGCTAGTATGCACAGTCTTTATGTTAGTTTACAGGTTGTACACATGGGGTCATTTTCTACATTAGCACTGGAAACGAAAACGTTTACTGGAATATCAACTTGCATCACATTACGAAAAAAATGTGCTTAACACATTCGTAACCGACCAGCCTTGGCGACTTCACAAAATGAATGTTTCTGTAAACAGAAAAGTACCTTTGACGTGATAAACTTCCCTTTAACTTATATAAATCTCTAAAAGCAACTAGCACCCATGTATTGACAATGCAATGAAAGAAGATGTATTTCAAATAGACGATGTTTGAACATTTTAAGTCAATATATGCAAATCTAAACTGTTCTGCTTAGAGCATTTTTTCTTTTTCGATACAACAAATGCATTTTTCAAAAAACGTTAAATCTATAGTTTGCATTACTTGGAATTTTCTGTAGACTGCAGGCTCATCCTATCAACAAACCTCGCAAATAACTATAAGTTACGCTTCTCAAACGTGCTGTAGGGGCCTTATAAAAATGTGGTCCCTTCAACCTACTATCGTGCGAAGAACATGAACAGAGGAATGCATGAAACCTGACAAAATTATTAACATTCATCTCGGGAACAAAGGAGGCGTTACATCGAATTTTAAAAAAAAACTGCATACGACATAACTTCTGAGACAACCCTCTTAAGTCATCGCGAAGATATATGGACTGCCTTAAGTTCAAAAACCTGAGTTCATGCTGCAGCTGACAGTATCGTAATAGGTGAACACTCGAGTTTTCAAAAGTAAGAATTCTAGGTTTAAAATGATAGATCATTTTTGCTCACCCGAATTTGTTCCTTTGTCCACTGAGATTTTGGACAGCTGGGCCGGCTGTCGTTTGTCAAAGCGCAAACTGACTTTATCGATCAGCAGTTCCAAGTTGTGGCTGTGTGTGTTGACCATGAACTGATCGATGTTTCTACGCTCACTGCTTCACCCTCAGTGTAGATTTTGGCATAACTAGAAGGCAAGTAGTGTTGTGTTCTTTCCCCACGGCAGAGGATGCTGGTAATCCTGCTCCCTATTCCGGTGGCTTCTTCACGGGACCGTTCTTACTCTCTCCTCCGGTGGATTCGTCACGGGCCTCCTACTGCAGTCCACATTTAACTTCTATTTAGAATTCATGGAGATTATAGACATACTTAGAAGAACCACAATTTCTGTCGGTTACGTAATAAATTCATTGGATTCCATGTGTTTCTCGACATTCATATAAATAGACATGGCAAGACACAAATGAACTCATACAGTTTCCTGACATGTATATTTCCACAGCCCTCTGACTTGAGGCCAAAGACCTTTTTGTAGAAACCTTTGCTGCTTTTGATCACCAATACTAGACAAAGAGTGCTCTAATTGAGCCAGTTGCATTTGGATTTCGTGCCGAGGGGCAACTTCCATTCATTATCCCTGACTTATGGTTAACATCCACGGTCGACACATTCTGAACAAACTGGGAATGTTCCGTATCACTATTGACTCCATCGTTTGGAGGAGCACATTCAAACTCAAACATTGGGATGTAATCAAGGAGTGAAGAACTGACGTTATGTTAAGTCATCCGTTTGTGTTAAGTGAATTTGTCTAAACGTCATTCTATACTACGAGAACAGTAAAAACAATCTCCAGAAAGTGGAACACCTTGTGTTGATGAAAAACGGAACCAGATTGAGTTGAATTACCTGTATTCATTATTTGTACTAAATTAAAACAACACAACTTAGAATAACTTGGAAAGTATGTTTCATTTAGGTGTCCAAAACATAGGCTTGACGCATCGTCCGTGTATGGAAGGAGTGTCTGCGATTACTGAAAGACATCGAAGGAAATAGCAAATGCAAGTGGCGCGCAAATAGACGACCAATTTACTTTTTTCGCTTGGACACACTGAGAGGAGTTTTGGCTATTTCTATGCGAAGTAAACCGTCTGCTTGGTCACGTGCGATAGTTTCCGTGTTGTCTCTTCTGATAGAACTATAAGCGCCGCCTCTACACGTAACCTAGAGCATCAGCTGAGAATTAAGAAGTAGGATCATCTGTTTGAGGTGGCCATTCGTGCCATGAATTCTGGCAGACGTTTGGTCGGGAATACACTGCGTCCATCCTTCCGAGGAAACTTGACCGTCCCTGAGGCTGGGCACTTAAATGCGTTAGGTATCAATCGGCATATTGATGTAGACGTCGCGTACAAAAATGACGCGGAAACATAGAAGGTGAGAACCAAGATTTTTTCACACAGCAACTGCCTAGGCGCGCAAGCGCCAAAAACTAGTCGGGCACTTTTGAAATGCCGACAACGACCTCAGGATTGAACGTTAAATGTCTATCTAATTACGTCTTTCACCTTTCCTGAAGCACGCCATCAACTTCAAAATACATTTTTTTCGAACGTCTGCCTTCCACTTCATATATTTTTTTAATATGTATCATTGTCAACAGACTGATAACTGTGGACTGATATGCTTTAAGCATTTGTTAACTTTCTTGTCTGCCTGTCTCACTAATCACCATGATATGGAAAAGCCTCAGTTATCGCTGCATAACTTAACTATGTTTGATTAAAATGACGCTTATATTACCGGTCGTATTAACTACATTTTTTATAGACATATGTGGTACTGTAGTATTCAAATCCAGATCTTTTTAGATTTATATACTTCTTCATGAACGTTACATATATGCTGAAATTTGAACGTTTTCATTCGTTGATAATATATTGTTTTTGTAAACATAGGTAATGCATCAATCGGCAGAATTGGGCTTTAGTACTCTCAATGTGTTTTTCTAAATGTAAACATGCAATCTGAAGGAATGTAAGACAAACAGCCATTTTTGTATTTGTTTTTGATAACTTCAAACGAGGCCGTCTTTCATAATGTATTGGGGCCTATAATGCCTCTTCACCGCGGATTCAGTGTATTATGTTTGTGTGCTTTGTCATAGTAGAACTTGCGCATACATGTATTTACTTAAAATTTATGTCCCACTTAACCTTTATTTTTCATCAACACAAGGTCTCCTAAGCAGGCCGCGGCTATTCCAAGTGTTGTCGTGTTTGGAGCTCTGAAAGAAGCCGTAATTTTTTCTTCCATTTCCATTACTTGGTCTCTCGCGATTGCGCAAACGCGAATCCTCCCCGTGGACTATGAAATCCACTATCCAGCCTACAAGGTTTTCAAAGAGATAACTCAGCAGGTTAGTGTACAATAGCATTAACAGTTGGGAATTCACAGAAGGGCCCTTGAATGAACGTATTATTAATTATAAGAAAATGACTACTAGTAAATGTTCAGTAGGCAGACTTTCCAAAAATACAGAGGCCTCCTTATGTTGATCAACAGAAGCTGTTCTGGGTAAGTGAAGTAAGTTGCATTCCGAGATTATACGAAGAAAATGAAGAAGATCTTTGGAAATCGAGTTTTACGCGTGAATTTTCGAACGGGTATCACTTGTTCGTCGTCACACTAAATGAGAAGTGAGGGCTTGGAATGTCGCCTAGAGGTTTTGGGGCAGAGATTACAACGAACGGGGTGGGATTGGGCGGGGGGGTTACGGTGACGTGACTCCTGCGGCGATAGGTTGTGCTGGTGAGGGTAGCGGGCGTGTTAACGTTTGGATTGTAGGCCACGTGTTCGGGGGAGGAGGGGGTCAGAGTCAGTGAAATTCTACTTGACCGAGCACGGACAGCCTGCTGTTGTTTCAGGCTGGGCGTAGATTAGTGAACCATGTGCGAAAACCGGCAGAGTGTGAATCAATCCCTACGTATCTGTTAATACTGGCCGGGCTCAAGTGCCAAGCATTGATAAATTCGCTCGATCGCCTCGTGTTAGCCATGGCCCGGAATAATTTGCACAAATACGCTAGTTCTTTCTTGAGCAAACCACCATTACCGGAATAACGGTAGGTACGTTGGAACAGAGTACGAACACAGCTTCTTTTGTGACCTGCAGAGTGGTTACTCCCATAGTTCATAAGATTGTGTCGAGCAATAATATCTAATGAATCTAGAAGTGAGAAGAAGACAACTCGATCGCTCGGACAATACTTTTATTCGCCTGACGTTTTGACGTCCGTCGTGGATTCATCATCAGAGACATTAGCATAAAACGGTAGCAGAACCTAGAAGTATTGTTATTGTCGGAGACAGACGTGACTTGAGTGTACACCCACTGATTACTTGTCCTTCGGAAACCATTTCAGAACAGCACAACTCGAAAGCATTATATACAACATTCAAATACAAGCAATCACAAATTGCAGCTCAGGGAGACCCCGGCTGTCAACAGTAATAATTCACAAATTCATATCCTTAGTGTTTGATCCAGGGGTCGTGTCAAATGGTCTTGAATTTCGTTTTGAGTTTTTTAAGTTAATTCATTTGCAACGAGGATCAACTTTTTGATTATTCTTATGGATGTAAAATTGATATTCATTAGTTGAGGGTTATTTCAGCGTCCTTCATCTGAATTCCATACCATATTTTAGGTAATATGTTTATTCATACAGAAAGTCATAAGGTTGTTAAATAAGGCAAAATGCGCGTTTCATATTACTATAACTCTAAATAGCATTTATTAAGGTCACACATCACGTGAGTATGCAGGTCGGAAAGCAGATGCGAATGCTTAACCTGAAGATGAGGAAGATGGTTGTGACTGCATAATTTTCTCCGATTTCCAACGTGCCGTATTATAGTATAGTACTTACTGGTCTTAATAGGTATGATTGCTAGAACTAGCACTGCTTGCATTGGGATACTCTATTATTACGCTATCCTAGTCCTCGCAGTCCAAATATAGGGAAAACTGACATATTCTTGCTAAGTAGAGGTAGGAAGGCGGAATAGCATAAACCCGAATTCACATTCCTTGTTGAGATCGAGGGGATATGAGTCCCAGCACTGACTTTTAAACAACGTCACGTCTGACTTAAAAGTAGCGCCTTGAGGAGATGCGGTTTGGTTAGGCCACAGTCACTACCACTGTCGCCTTCGTCCTCGACGTCATTCTCGGAGGCAGCCGCCGACAGTAGGCAGATGCAAATGATGCAGAACCTGCTTAACGGTGACGCTGATTAACAGTCAACGCTGGGACTCATATCCCCTCGATCTCAACAAGGAGTGTGAATGTGGGTTTATGTTATTCCGAGTAGATACATGTTTGAGGCTCGGAGTACACCCGCGCTTGCCCTGGTTTCCGCCTTCCTACTTTAATTTTCCAAGAACTGTGTCACTTTCTCATTTGTTTGGACTGCGAGGCCCAGCATACTGCGTTTAAAGTAATATGCCAATGCTAGGAGTTCTAACTCTAGTAATCATACTTACTAAGACCAGTAAGTAGTGTATTATAATACGGCCTGTACGTGCACGTTGGA